CGCTAGAGAGCTCAGTCGGTCTGTCAACATTCGTGCATACCTCAGCACAAAAGAAAATGTAAGAATACGGACGAGCCTGGACCCTGGATTAACGTGAAGTTTAAGAAAATTAAATTTAAAAGAGTCAAAACGTCAATCTGCCATACGACGAAGCCAGATTGTTTTCGGTTGATTGCTACTAGGAGTGTATGGCACCTAGCGACCGCATAGTTGCTAGGTATCAGGACCGGACTCCCTGGTAGCACATAACATTGAAACAGCATTTTAATTTGTACATTTGTAAGCGTTGCAAAAGAATTAGATCGACGGAAATGTTGAACTTTGATGACCTATAACTCAATGATTGCACTCTGACAGATTTGTGCCCATTGACAACTTTGATCTACTCATCAATATTTATCGATTGACACCTGTTTTGGTTTGTAACGTGGGGGGCGGTTTTTGGCATCCTCCTTTGCTAGAGCTATTCTGTGTTGAGAGAGGAAGAAACATTCCTAATTTCGTTCCTGTTGATGCTCTCAGAGAGGAATACAAGGAGGTTGAATTTTGCTGCGGGAGGGGGTTGAAGGAAGGTTGCAAAGGAACCGTATGTTACGAAAATGCACATGTGTTTATAATTCACCACCATCACGGTCCGTCACCTAATTCCTTCCCGTCCCGTTCCGCCTTCCTAATTTTTCAGGCGCATTGTATTTCTTCGTATGAGTACTGATCCAGGCGTGAACTCTGAACTCGTAGTTGAACGTCGTCCTTGGACGACCGATCCACCGTTACAGAAGGTCGAGCTCTCGTGTACAGTAAGAAATCAAGACTTGTTTATCTCCGGTAGTGAAAATATTAAAACATATATCTCAGCGCATGTGAATGTTGAAGTTAATTAATGAACTTAAATTACAGGGTGAGTCAAAAGTCACTGAACGACTTTGAGCAGCTATAGCTCGGCAAGGAAGTAATTAATTTGCAAGCAGTTTTTTGCGAAAGAAAGGGTGTACTCTAATTGACCAAGTAATATGGAAGTTTGCATGAAATACTAATAAGAAATGGAATGAGTCTGCACAAAACGAAAAGCAAATTTTCTCAGCATAAAACAGATATTTAGGGTACAACCGAACTTGTTTGAGGTTATTTTCTGTTATTTTTGCTGCTCCAAACGGTTGTCTGATAATGTCCGATGGTTGCTGTCGTTCGTTTGCTCTCTATCTGTGAAGGAAACCTTTCTGAAGTGAAGTGAAGTGAAGTGAAGTGCCGTTTTGCCTTAAAAACAGGTGGATAGGCCAGCGCGGGCCTATCGAGTGGCCACCCGGGTCGCCGGACCTGACTCCACTTGACTTTTGGCTGTGGTGTTTCATTTAAGACCAGGTATATGCCAAAAATCCACGCTTGACCAATCAACTGAAGCAACGCATCACCGAGAAGATTGCTGTAGTTGACCTCAACATGTGTATTACCGTCTGCCATTCGGTGCTCGGCTCCGCCGAGCGATCGAGCTTGATGATGCTCGATATAATGGCCAGTAATTAGTCATTTTTACGCCAAGGCTATAAATATCCGTTTTATTCAAAGTTGCATTTATGTTACTTAGCGCACAATATTTCCTATCCAAAGAAACCGTTTGCAAATGCATGCCTTCCTTGCCGAGTTATAGCTGTTCCTAGTCGTTCAGTGACTTTTGACTCACCCTGTACATGCAACTGCATGGTTATAAGCTCAGAACCTGAAGCCACGTAAAAGTTCGAAAAATCGATAAATAAAAAAAGCTTACTTTTCACTGGTACTTCACAGCAGATCATGAAAGCTTCGAAAGAATATATCCTAATTAGCTAACAAGCCACGATGTGCGATGATGATTGATTCTACAAATTAAATGCCTGTGCTTGGCAGCCCTGAGCGTATATTGCACTGACGTTCCCAGGTGAGCAATGGATTCGCTGGCACCGAACTCGAGACGGTAAGGGAAGTCTGAGTAGTTTTCTCGGTTTCGAGATGGCAACGGTATTTTTCCAAGTCTGATCCCATCTTGCCGTGGGGTAAAAGGAGTTCGACATGACTCGGGACTCATTGAGATTGCATGAAGAGATTTTGAAGCAGTGTTGGGGCTGCCCTCGAACAATCATATTTCAGACGTTGAGACTGATGCACGCTGATTTTCCGCTCGGTAAGATTAACGGCGTACGAAGGATTTTTAGGAAGGGGGGGGGGGGGCTCTCTACTAGTTCATTTTTAGTTTAAATAATAAAAAAAACTATTTATTCGCTTTTGAAATTACTTTGTCCCGTCCCGTGACTGAAGTAAGTCCCGCCGTGGAACATCCCGTCCCATGGAGCGCTTTAATGCCATGTCATTGCCAATAGGCACCGTTGACGCGAAAAAAAAGTTCTATATTCTTGAAGATGCCATTACTGTGGCACGCGCCATGATGTCCAGTTTCACATATACTGTAGTTCCTTTGCGACGTTTCGAGTCCGGCAATCCAGCCTATCAACAGATTACAGAACAGGCAACAGCTTATTAAGCTGGACGAATTTCACTGTATTATCTAGAGCAGGCTCTTTACTGCCCTGGGGCCCATGGGCGGCTCGTGATATTCAGCAGCAGTGTATTCTTAATGGAGGTAGGGTAGGTCCGGGCCTATCCTGCCTCCATTGACGATCCACTAATGCTGAATATCACGAGCCGCCACTGCTGGGGCCGTATTCTATTAAAATCCTAAACTTAGTTAAAGCAAATCGCTCAACCTCGGCCATGCATTTGAATGGGGCAAATACCAGCTAAGCAACTTGCTTAGAGGAAAATCGCACTTAAGAACGCAATAGAATACGGCCCCAGCTCTGTTCTGCTCATCAGTGGCTCCTCTGGAAAACTGATGAATCAAAGCACATTGCATTACATATTTATTGTGTAGTTTGGAGTACTTCCTATATTCATTTATTGACTGGTGGAGGTAATCATACTTGAAGACAACAGCATAGCAATGCAGTGCAGTGCAACAAGATGAATGTGATCATCAGTCCTCTTCAGGATTCTTGCCCTTGACTCATTCCCAGCCGAGGTGGAAACCTCGAGTCTGTCGACGAAGCCATTGCCGGAGGGGTTGGAAATATCGTAGCAAAGGTGCAGCCGAGATCTCCCTCTCACCTGTCAAGGACTCCAGGATATCTGGAAGGGCTCTCGAACGGCCCTTCCCCAGCGAGTCCCTGTTTCAAGAGAGGACGAATTCTGCATACCAATTGTCATCGCATCATTGCTGTAAAAGGATGAATCTTAGCTTGGGGGAAAAAAATCAGACTGCAAGTAGGATCTCAACCTATGTTCGTTCTTGAGAGATTTGCCAAACAAATGAGAGATGGAGCATTCGAAAAACCTTTCTTATTTGAAGATATTGACATCTGGATCATCCTCCAATCCATAAAGAAGGTGCTTTTGAACTTTTGGTGTGCATGTGGGAGGGGGAATCATAAGAAAGAAGACAACATCCAAGATAGAATTTGCTTTTGAACCAAATCTGTTTATACCTGATGATCTCAAATATTCTGGTTTTGACCGCCTCAGTCGAAGAACGGATTTGCATTGACTTTTCGATGGCAGTCGTGAGAGCTAAACTCTTGAGAAAAGGATGAAGAGCAGAAGCTCGGTGTTGGGGCATGAAAAGAAATGAAGTAAATATACAGGTAGCAGTGCAGTCGTATTGAAGTTAGAGAAAAGCGGTGCCAAAATTATCTGGGTTATTGATGTCAAATATATGAAGCGTGTCTGAAATCTATCGAGAAATAAGAGGCGAATGGATGGTGTGTCTCTCCCAAGTGGAGAAGAATATTCCACGAAGGACAGACAATGGTTTCGTACATATTGTGTCGCAGTGGTGAAGGTACCTGCCATACTCAAGAAAAGAAAAGTAGGGAAACCAACGAAACTCGAACTCTCCAGGAATGTGCAACTTAATTCGAACGCTTAGGCTAAAGGTATCGGCTACTTGTTGGACTTGGTCTGTTGTGATTGAATTAATCTCCCAGTAGTTGCCCTGTTTTTGAAACCATGCCGTAGTACTAATTTCCTGAGATTTCTATTATGAGAGTTAATACGAGCATGAAATCTGAGCGCTCTCAGATATTGGATATGGAGCAATCGTGTTTCAGTGGTAGGGTACCTCCATGAAAATTGTTCTATAGAACTACTGTAGGGATCGAAGCCCAATTTAGTGTATGAGTTTCTTCGGGAATATGTTAATGGTAGGAAAATATCCCCGCAGTTCGGACTGTTAATCTCGTAAGACATAGACCTGAACGCATGTTCGGTTTGACGTTGCAAATTAACAGGTTGACGCGAGAGTCGAATAGTACTGTGACGGTTTTGGGAGGGGACTCGGTCGAGTAGTCTTTTCCGCCGGATAGCAGAATCCGGGGGTCAGTGCTACTGTGAGCGAGTCAGCGGTCCGCAGGCCGCGAGGGAGTCACACGGGTAGGACTAGCCGTATTGTAGGATATGAGTGGCGTCGGGGTGATCCCACAAAAATCTCTTTCAGGTCGATGCACAGCGTAAGCAATTTTTAATGTCCAATCCATGGACCAAGAATGTTGGTTCAACCTAGAGACAAAGTCACGCTAACATGTCGCTTCAGGCCACGCAGGGCTATCCGCAACACCGCGATGCCAGGAACCCAGGCGTGATTACAAAGTGCACACGTTAGAAGTTACCACCCTCTGACAGAGATTATACTCCCTAGTCAGGCAGTGACAGTACCCCAAACTTCCCCAGGAGATCAGGGGGCTAGGAACGAGAGGTCGCGATCGCGATAAGAACGGGGGTCGAGCACAAGGGGACTGGAAGGTATTTGGACCTTGCTGCCTTGGTTTAGCCGACGCGGTTCGGAGCGAGTGAACCATGGAGTAGAGAGTATAACTAGAGGCGACACTCCGAGGGGTAGTGGAGGGACGAAATGTTAGAGACATCTGGTTGCTTGTTATCAACGGCTCGTTGACCTGCCAATCTCTCATTACATGATCTCACCTGAGTTTCTTCCCGACGATTTTGTTGCCGTAGATACTGCACAGATGCAAGGGAGAGGAAGGATCCTTCTCTTTGCAGAAAGCTTCATGCAGTTGAAAGCTTAGCAGCCTCGCCAGGAAATATCTGAGAGACAGGAGATGAAAGAAATGAGATAGGAATCAAATATATACGAAGTGACGGTTCAGGGAGACAGACGGCCAATAAGGGCTGTTCAAGAGAAGATGATGCTTGGAGGCGGGATCGAAGTGTGAGGCCCCACGGCGAGGTTCTGGTGGAGACAGGCCTTGATATCGACGGACCAGCTGCCACCAGTCATCATTGAGGGTGTCTTCATCGCCGTTGGTATCTGCTTCATTGCTCACATACCACCGCCATTCATCCACGACGTAGGAGAATGCGAGGAAAGGCAATGTCCTGAGTGCTTCTCCTAAAAGCGACCCTAGGCCCTCCACCTCCTCCTTCTTACCTGAGATATTGCTTAGCATAAGTACTGAGTGGCCAACAGAGATCTTTGTCAGGGTAGTTTTGCGATGCAGACGGGATCACATGTAGAATTTTTTACTCTTTTCGAAAGATGGTAAATATTAGCTAGGCATATGGGAACCCACCCTTTGCCTAAAAAAAAAAAATCCCATCGCAGGGAAAGTCTTAATATTGCATATGGATTCAAAATAACTTTGCAATTTTCCAGCCAAAATATATTTTCTATCGTGGCTGACATTACATTTTAAAAGTATTTTCTTTTACTAATTCATGTAATATTGGTTAAATTCCTCCCACAATTCACCGAAAAGACTCTGCACTAAAACAGCTTTAATACGACCTAAAAAGAAAGAACTGATGGCCTGAAAAGCCTTAAAACTTCAGGAAGATTTTGATCAGCTCCTGAATGCGCAACCGCAACATCCAAGAAAGCAAAACCAGTTGTAGCCAGCGACCACGCCTTTGAATCGAAGTTACTTTTCCGGACTTAACGTTTGGTGGAGAAAATATTACTTTTAAAATTTGGTAACGATCAGGAGGAGGCCCACATGCTGTGCCACCACGTACAGCAGATTGATAATGCACTGCAAGTCTGTATACACGGTATACAGGCTTACTTCGACGTGATGGGATTCCCCAGAATCCTCGGTTTTTCAGAGATAGGAAGAGACTATCTCCGATGGCCTCGTGTAAGATCACATTCCCTCTCCGAAAGAGGACCGGCTGATGAGAATAGGCCATGAAATAGGCAATGTGCCCCATCTCGTGCACAGCCGTTCTCAGTCCCTCCTCGTTCCTCTCCGTGCAATACTTGATCCTGGAGACGGAACGATACGAAGAGATGAGATTCTGTACTGCAACGAGGGAACGGATCGGTACGGAGCGACGACCTGAAGTCCTGTCCTTGCGGATCCATCATGTCGAATGCCATCCCGTGGCACGATGCTTTGTTCGGTGGCGATTGCAGAACGGAAGAACGCCAAAACGTGTCGGTCATACGTGGGAAACCGAGAGATTCCAGGAATCCTTCGATGAGTTTATACATCCCCACGACGGTGATGTTTCGATCCCAAATCGCCCGCGTCAGGTTGAGCGGTCCTCGGACGGCGATGATCCCCGACCAGTCTTGTCCCCACAGATTTCCTATGATGAGCAATTCGTGTACATTTCATATAGTTGGGGTCCCCTTTCCATGCAGTTAATGACTGTTTGACACCAAAACGAACCGACAGAAATCGAGGGCCTTCGAAAAGCCGATTTCTTCGAATAATATCGCAATGCAAATATGGAAGTTAACATGGTGCAGCGATTCCCCTTTTTTGTCAGATAACCTACCTTTTAGATTACTTTCGGATAAGGAAAACTTTAGGAAACCCTGAAACTCGAACCATCACCTGTCTTGCCCGTGGATAGATACAGTGAATCCATTCCTTATTTTCCTGATCATTCGATATCGAAGCTGTCTTCCTTCCCATTCAAACGAGTTGTGTGAAAGTAAGTCCGTTATACGAGAAGATAATAAGATTTAGGTTAGAAATACACTGGCTTTCTTTTTTAACTTGAACCGGAGAAATGGGAGATATGAAGCCAGATTCTTTTTTCTTTCGTTTCTCATACATAAATTGAAAATGTGGACGTTGAAGACGGAGTTCTTGCTTCATCGTCGACAAAAACTCTACAGAGTTATCAGAAGTCCTGCCCACTTTTTCAACGTTAACAACTTCTGAACGCTTGATCTCATGGAGATGCGGTTTTCACCATTCGAAAGGCAAGACAGTTCTAAATTGGAAGGATTTTTGCATTATTTTTCCAATAGAAATGAAATCCCTGTTCTTGGGTCATATAAATGCATCGGCACCGAAGACGTGCGTGCAGCACTGTGTAATTTTCTGTTCGACTGTCAGAGGATGTCCAGATCGGAGAAGGTCTGCTACGTTTCCTGTCCTGTCAAAATTTGAGGCGATACGGGCAAACAACTTGCGGCTGACGGTTTCTCCGATCAATTTCTTCCTCAATTGTCGAGCGGTTTCCGTCGCATTTGGAGTAAAACCGAACTTTTGCACCTCGCTTATGGGTCAATTGTTTATCGGCCATTTTCCTCAATCCTCCATGAATTGGAATTGATCACAGCCAAGGCACAATAACTCTCATACTCGAACAGACAATAGGATGCGGTGCCGCAAGGGTGCCAATGCCATTGTATAACCCCCCGAATAGGTATCCGAATGATACCATTAGCAAAATAATGCGAAAATCCTTCATTCGATACAGAATTGTCTAGTCTTCCGAAAGGTTAAAGCAGCATCTGGATGAGATCAAGCGTTGAGAAGTTTTTCACATTCAAAAGGTGGGCAATACTTTTGACTCGCCCCGTATAGACCACTCCTATGCTTAATTTCAAACACTTGTATATTACTGGGTGAATGTTGATTCAAAGAAGGGTTTATGATGGAGATACGTGTTGGGCACGTGACCTTCGTTGCATGTTGGTGGGGCAAGACCTGGAGAAGGTACAGGGCAATTGAAGTTGCGCGAAGGACACGAGATTCAAAGCATTCACAAGAATCTTCGCGAAATAAGCCCAAATTTCAATTTACGGTTATGTTGATCACGTTTGCAAGAGGCCTCTGCTATGACTGGGTATAATTTACGTGTGGTAAAGTGCAGAATAACAATTGCCAGTGAGAATCTCTTCGGGACAGTTACCTGGAAACATGTGAAATGGCCAAGGTAATTTAGCTTATGTCTATGCATTTCATGTCCGATCGTTACGTTAGTCGTGCTGAAAATAAGAATTAAAACAGCCTCGTGGTCGAGTGAAGCGTTTACAGATGCTTACCTGTACGCGTGTCGAAATTTGACAAAAAGTTCATGATTACTGACCTGCATGGCATTTGAGAAACAGTGGTTGCTGTCGTGAAACGACTCGTTTTTTCATCGAAGCTTCGAAGCGATATGTGACACGTTGAGGAGCCGGAAGGAGTTTCAGTGGTTATCGGTTCTTTTTTTTGCATTTACAAAATTAATAAAATATGGAGTCGTTTGATCGCAGTGATTTAGTAGTACTAGCGGATGGATAGAAAGACTGACGAGTGAAGGAAACATCGATTGTTCCGTTCGAGTCCATCCCAGTTATTCGAGAGAGATTTTCTTCGACGAATGCATGAAGGAGCCGATAGAAGGGCAAAACCTGCCGATACAAGGCCTGGATCTTCTCTCTCGCGTCCCCGATCTCCAACTGCGACAACTGCGATTCCATCAGGTTCTCGTACCCTGAAAAGAGAGCGGAAGCCTCGTCTGCGATTCCACCAGCGCATCGTGCCGTCAGAGATTCCATCGAAAAACGTTTTACGAGATCTCTCGCGTATCCGATTTGCGAAGTCGCAGGATTTCTCAACGATTTCGTTTCGGTAGAGTCGACCTCGGTTTTACGTTTGCATTCGTTGGAAGCGATGCGAATCGCGCCTACTCTTCGCGAATCGTAAGGAAGTCTGCGGGGTGGAACTGCCACTGGAAAGGGTCGTTTCGCACCGGCGGCATCGCTCATCGCGGCATGTTTCCGCGTTCGTGCGGGTTTATGTTACGAAAACTGCGTCTTCGTGCGGACCGAAAAAGATGGCCATCGAAACGAGACCTCGTTTCTGCTTTTCGAAAAGTTCCAAAAGATCGAGGGGGGAGCGGGCGTGGAAGTGTAACTCACGATGCACGTGCGCTTCCCACGACGATCGCTCGAGACCTCACCTGGATGCGGATACGGTGCGTATTTCTCCCCTACTCGCAACCGTGAAATTCGTGCAGGATGTTACGTTTTAGCAGCATTAACAAAAATTTGGGATTCTCGTCCGATCCTCGTTTTTCACGTCTCTCGGGAGGCATTACTTTCACTAATCGTTTACGACGCAAGAAAAGAGGGAGAGTGTGAGGTACGAAAGGCACGAGAAGCAGGAAAGAGCGGCAGAGCGCACGCGTCATCCCCTTCCCCGATCTCATTAGCACGACTGGCTCCTAACGCCGGATGATTCGTCGTCTGAAAAGCCACGAGAATGTTCTTTACTTCCGACGAATGGTTCCCACGTCACGGTGGCCGATGTCATCGTTCGTTCCGTGCGTCATATCGCATGCCGTCGTATCGTGTGTGCACCAAAATCAAACATTTACGATGGAATTACTTTTGACATCATCGAGTCATGCCGCCGGTGTAAAAGGACCATCGTAGAAAAAGGTCGTTCCGATAGTATACGAACGAGGGCAGCTCACATTGCCGACCGAAGCACCTGCTCGATGACGGTTTACATCGCTGGGTGAAATTCTTTTGTGAAATTAGAGTAATGGCACGGTAGCGAAGTGAGTCGAGGGAAGATTTGAAAACTGATGTAATGAATAACGTCGCCCTCCTCTATTCTTCAGGCATTCCAAAACTTTTCTCTACAGTACATTACCTCAACCTATCAACTCCAAACTTTCCTCGATTTTCCCATACATCATTCCCGCTCCTCATTACATGATTAAACTCCGTTGTAATCGCCTAATAGGCACAACCAAAAGAACTATCCCTCCACCTTTCTTTCAAGTGGAACATTCGACAAGTTTTCCCCATGAATATTGATACCGTGCCATCGAAATTCTAATCGATTTCATGACGCACTGCCTTGATAATTTTCAAAACGTTTGCTAAAGGCAGTTACTCTTGGCGAGTACTCGCTAGCTAGGGCTTACCATTTTCTCTCTTCAAACTGCCAGTCATCTATTTCATGAATGGGGAGTTTGCTTTTTTGAACACCTACGTACAGATGTCGATAAATATGAAATATGCAATATGATGGCTGAGCGCAGAAAGTACAGGGTGGGCCACGAAATGATGAATTTTTTGTTATACGTTGACTCCCAGTAAAGTCAGCTGCATAACCTGTGACTAGGAGCTGCGATAGGATCTGGAAAAATCGTCAAGTGTATGTTTGGACATGAAGGTTAGGGAACATCAAACAATGCAGCAAAAGAATTAAATTGTGTTGATGTACACGGGGACGAAGAGTGTGCCTGTTCCGCAATGACACTTCGATGCTTTTCTAGAGAAAATATGGGCTACAAACAGAAACATTATCCTCCACCTCTTATTATCGTTTTTGTTCTTGCACAGCCCCATCTTGTTCAAATCGATAATAATGATGTATGCTGGTGTTCCTGATTGGAGCCCATCTTATCCCTAAAAAGATTTGAAGTATCTTTGTGAAACAGACACGCGCATCATCTCAGCGTACGTCAGTATAATTTTATTCTTTTGCTGCAATGCCTGATGTCCCTAACCTTCATATCCAAACATACATTTTACAGTTTTTTTTCGGTCCTATTGAAACTCCCAGTCACAGGTTATACAACTGTTTATACTGGGAGACAACATATAGCAAAAACCGTCCCACCCTGTGACCCACCCTGTAAAAGTCCTCATCAGTTACGGTGGATCTTGTCGACATCGTGATGGCAGGCCAACTGTAAAAATGGCCACTTAGTGGCCAAGGAAAGTGGAAACAAATATCTTCGATTGTCTTCAAGTTTTTCCCGAAGGTCCACTAGCCATTACATATTTAATTTATCCCAACCTCTTCAGTCGTGAAGTAGCCATAACCAATCTCCCACAAGTTGACATGGAATCGATGCTCTCACACCTGGCAAGGTAACGAAGGGATGGATTGAGCAATTCCTCTGGTGGAATTGGGTCTCTCAGTATCGTTGTCTTCTGTGTCACCCATGAAGCTACCTTCTCTAAGAGTCTCTGAAAGGTTGCTTCGTTTATTCGAAGAAAGCCAGATACGTGATCGGGGCTAGACTCGCTTAGGTCCGACAGTAAACAATAATTCGCCCAGGGTATATCTTTTCAAGAGCCAGGACATCGTCCAAACCATTACGCCTCACTCCTTTTTCATTCCCCACTGTGAGAGCAGCAGCCACTGTGGCGTTGAACGGCGACTGATACGGACGCATCCCGAACTCATACCAAACGCTTCGCGCTGACCTTTTCAGCTCCCGTCACAGGAGGAGCGCTATTGCATCGAGGTGCCTTTTCATTAGTTCTTGCTAGCGAGTACTCGCCTGAAGTTTGCATTATTCCAAACTCGTAGCAAGTGCTGGCGAGTGAGGTGTTACGCTAAGCGAGTGACTTTAGCGAGTACTCGCCTAGTGTAAGAGAAGCTTCACGAATCCTCTGCCTCTGCGCCGCGGGAGATCGTGTGGAGAAAAAAAATCGATGGAATCTTCGATCACGTTTGTTTGAAGGCCTGGAGATGTCGTACCGTTTCGTCGAGCTGCCGAGTCATGAATTCCAAGGATCCGAACGAAAATTTCCCTTTCGACTGGGCCGAAGGTGTCGTACCAAGATCGCCAAACGCGATTGAGCTCTTCAGGAGAATCCAAGCGCTTGAGGTATCCATTCACGTGAAGGTCTTCGGAAAGACACGACCCATTCTCCATGCAGATTCGTCTCTCCGATGTCAGCCCTTCGACGGCTCCGATCAGCTCCTTCAACTCTCTCAAGAGCATCCCAGGAAGCACGCACGTTATATCGAAGCCCTTCAATCTAAGAATCTCATTGTAATATTTAGGATTCACGAGAGTAGGAACGAAGTCCCGGTATTAATCCTGCATCGAAATTCCCATTCCTCGTCGGATCGAGGAGCCGTACCACTCAGAAAACGAAGAATTCGTTTAGTTTTAACTTAATATTTGTATACAACATTAAACAGCTTTCTGCTGAAGAGTTTCTCTAATTTGTTACCAGGACGAGTTCTAGCGTCCCATTTTGCCATATTTTAGAATCGGAGCTTCACGAACTCCAGCCGTGCACGTAAGCGCTCTTACCGATGTTCATCGAAGCCGAAGTCGAAGCCAGCAGACATGAGATGGAGCATTCGTTTCTCATCGTTCGTGAGATCCAACGTCTTGTAGTCTCGAAGTAAGAGCCGTGCGGATTTTTGGAACCATCGAAGCAGGAAGGCTCGCGAAAAGGACGTATGGGTCGTGAATCGCTCGCCATCGGAACGAGGATCGTCCTGCTGGAATCCCATCGCTCTCCACTTCTCCAGCTGCTCTTCTCGATTTGCTTTCCCCTCGGCATAATTATAGAACTCCAAATATTCCTTGAATGGAATACCTGCATGGTAAGCAGCAAGACTTTCAGGAAATCCCTTCATGCTTCGTTCTAAGCGATACCGTTTTTCGAGACCATCACTCGTCTCGGAGATCGGATCGGCCTGGGAATGTAACCGAACTCTTCCGAGAGTCTCTTTTTCAAGCTCAAGCGGAGCCTTCGAATGCTCATTCGAGTGTTCGAGGAACACTTTGAGTGAGAACACTTTGGAGGAGCATTCTTCCTTCGTGACATATACGTTCTATAAAGAAATCTGAGGAAAGTCATTTGATTCGAGATTTCAGAGGATCAGATGAGAAAATTTGCATAGCATCCCAGAAATACTACTGGCTCATTTGAGGATATTCTATGAAAGAGGACACGTCCTGCAATGAGCTAAAAAATACTCATCGTCAGAGAAAAGCAACACGGAGAAAGAGTGGAACTATTTAAACTAGATGGAAAGTCTTGGCAAACCAGAGTTAAAGATATAACATTTCAATTTATGAATTATATTTTACTCTTGCGCATACCCACACAAGCTTACACCTCATCTTTCCTCAGTGCCAAAAAATATCCCAGAAAAATCCGAAAACATTCAGTGAGCGTTGGAATTTTTTCCCAACTCGAGAATCTGCAGGTGATAGGTGCATTTGCCAACGGGTAAAATTGTTTTACTCTTCGAGAAAAACAAACTAAACCTGATTCAGGTGCAGATATGTCGGTACATAAATAGCGTATTTATTTATTTAATGGTTGAGAGATTCCG